AATATGAAGATGATTAGGGTTTTAGACTTTAGAAGAAATAATATTAGGTTAGGTAGAAGACTAGTAGTACTACCTCTGCAAGATCTTCAGCAAGGCATTGCAGTTGACCAGTGAGAGAAGTGACCTGTCTTTGGAGAGTAGGGATGATTTGTTTTGCATGTTTTAGTTCAGAATCTTGTTGGTTTAAAAGTCCTTGGAGCTGAGTGTTCATAACATCTGGGAACAGAATGGCACTCTTCAATGCTTTGATCTCCTCTCTTTGTTTCAAACATAAATCCTTCAGTTTGTCAACCTGCCAACAGGTACAGGTTAGATGAAAATGATCTCCAGATATTAATTTTCATAGATTTTGTGATCAAAAGAATAGTAAGTTGTGTATCACATAATTGACTTGTAGAAATAAGACTGGGTAGTCTGTTTGCTCCTTCACCTTATTGCAACTACTGAGACTTAGCAATGAGTGAGAAGGGTATGAAGATGCTAGCTTCTAAGGGTAGAGTTCCATATATTAAAGACTGTGACTGTGGAATTCTATAAGTCAAGTGTTTTTGGCAAACTGTAGAAGCCAATTCTTAAGCCTCATTTTTATCTTCGCAAATTCAAACACTATCTCCTAGATATAAGACTTTAGCTCATAAACTTCTATATTTACTATTCCTTAGATCTAAGCTTTCAAAACACATATCATCAATCAGTGGTATGTTTTTCGAATAATAGGAATTAAACATATGCTAAGTTTAAAATTATTGCAGAAAGATTATTAATGATTCAGGTAGCGAGTGTGTATAAGACTATAAGTACCTCTCTGTTTTTCTCCTCAAGCATCAACTTAAGCTCAATTATCTCCGTCTCCTGGTCCTTGTTCTGACTCAATAGCTCCCTCTCACTTCTCAACACCATCGCCAAAGTCCTAGCATTTGGCTTCACCTCCGTCAATGCCTTCTTCTTCCCCTCACTCTCATCTCCTTTCCCTTTGCTACCAAACAACTTCTTATGCAACCCTCCCAAACCCGTCGTCCCACCTCTCCTCGCACTCATCGTCGTCTTCTTCTTGAAATCCTCGGCAATGAAAGTAGTAACATCCGCAGCCACCACAAACTCCCTTCCTTTGGCCTTTGTTGACGATGAAGACCTCTTCTCCATGAATTTCTTAACCATAGCAGTCAAATTCTGGTCGTTCTTGGTGGATTTGGATTTAGCAAGGGCGAAAGAGACATCAGGAGACTGGCGACGATTTTTGGTTTGGTTGAGGTTGAGTTTGTTGAGCTCGGTGGAGGAGGATGGATCGGATTGGGTGGAAGATCGATTGTTGAAAGAACTGTAACGAGAAGATGACCTGAAAGAGGACATTTTGAGGGGAATCTGCGACTTAAAGATTAACGTTCGAAATTTTGTTGGGAGATGATCAGAAGCATATTTCTAGGGTTTTTGAACTCCGACTGTAAGAGACATTGATTTAGGGGCGGGCTGTACGAATTCGAAATGATTTCACATGACAGGCGCGGGATTAATTTATTCACGTGGATTTGAATTCATAATAAGTTCAAAATAACAAGCATAAAACAAAAGAAATAAAATAATATATTCTTAACAAATTTGTAAGAATGGTCGTGTAGTATGTTAAAACTTGTATGTTTGAGCCAAAAAAAATTGGATTTGCAGTAGTCTAATACTTTAATTTTGTAATACTTTAATTTTGTTGTGAGTTTGATCCAATAGTTTACAGTCATTACCTTGGTCTCGTTATCCCCCCCCCCTCCCACACACACACCTCACGTGAGGGTATTTTAGTCTATTCATATATTCTCCTTTATTATTTTAATATTATTTACCTCCATAAAGAGACTATAATGTCTCTATTTTCGTTTATGGCCAGAAACCTGCAATGAGCCCTAACTCGAACCCACATCTGTGATTTCATCGTCTCCAGCAACAATGATGATGTGCTTTTGCAAAAAGTGGGCCATAGTTCGAACAGTGTGGACAAATCTAAACCCAAGGCGCCGATTTTGGGGATGTCTTGAGCCTGTAAGTAAGTTGGATTATTCGATTTTTGACCGTCGGTCCCCGCTCTAATGTTTCCTTCTTCTATGTTTCAATAAATCGTCATGTAGATTTATTGGGTGGTATGATTAACTCATGTGTGCTCGCTCTAAAGCTATAATATTAGGGCTGATTAATCAATAAGCTACAAAAAGAAGTAGAGAATATTAAAGAAGAAGCAACTGAGCATGAAAAAGCAATAGAGAAGATAAAACAAGCAACTGAGTAGGTTAGATTTGTCGTTTCAAAAAAGAAGATCCAAAAATGTTAGGGTTATCTTTTATAAAAGGTTGTGATAGAAAGAAAGGTTGTGATGTGAAGAAATAGGAGAAACCTCACATGTATTTATAGGCCACAGCTTCAGACTATGCTAGGCGTACTCCTCGGGGTACGTCGTGCATACTCAGCACGCTGTGCTTACGAGGCTACACTGCACGTACGAGGGGGCAATTGTTGGTCATCTGAAGCGAGGCCGTGGGATTAAGCCATGTTACCCTCATCGCTTCAGCATAATCTCGACTTCTAAATTCCGTAACTTTTGCATACGAGCTCCGTTTTTCATGTTCTTTATACCTACGCGTAGGTGGCGACGTAATCTATGATTTTTGTTTAGACTCTGTCGGCTAATTTTAAATTTATATTTTAACAGGCTTAAACAGATAAAATCCGTTAAAAGTTCATAGCTTTGTCGTTCAACGTTCGTTTTTGTCTGTCTTTATATCATTGAGCTCCTATTAATGAGATCTTTTATTATTGTTTAGAGTATGTCAGCTAAAAATCGGTCGATCTAAAATTTGAATTCCGGGTTGTGCACTGCTATACTAAATCTTAGAAAAATCATAACCTCCTTATATGAAGTCAAATTTAGATGTTCTTTTTATGCATACTCTCGTTTTAACGTATACTACGAATTCTGTTCATATTGCTAAGACTAAAAAGTCTTTATCAAAAATTTTACTTTTTTACGCTACGCGGTGTCGTGCCGGTTTAACCGTAAAACTTCAACAAGTCATAACTTCTTCGTTATAATTCAGATTTTAGCGTTCTTTATATGTACGGAACCCTTGCGACATATACTATAATTTGGTTAAGACTATTTATTCTCAATAACCTTCTATCAAAAAGTCGTTTTGGGCACTTATTGTCTTTAAATTGACTAGCTCGAATCTGTAGGTGTTACAATATATGTAGGGGTAATTATGGAAAGGTAAAAGATAAATACCTAAAGTTAATGCATTAGTGAGTTGATAATTCGTCCAAGGACCTTGATTGAATCTGGCATTTACTAATATCTATAATCGTTAATCCTACAAGAGCCTAAAAGCGTCGATTATAGGGACTTACGGTAATACATTCTCACCTTAGAGTATAGTTGACTATAGGGACTCATGGTAATACATTAAAATTGTCTTAGAGTTTAAATTACCGTTAATGACACCTGGAATGGGACAAACATAAATGAGGTGTTCTCATATGTGGTTCATCTTTCACTTATATCAATAACTTAATTCACAAATCGGTCAAATAATTTTGGTGCCTTAGTTTTCTGCAAACAGAAGATCTATTTGTCTTCGGTTTCATCTATATTCATAGCAAATAATGATATTCTTTGTCTTGGAAATGCAAATGCGAGTTAAGAGGATGCAATCACAAAGAATCTCGTTGTCTTCTATAGAGATAGATGAAACTTTTTGCCAATGTGTTCTTTTCTTTTGTAAGTGCAAATTTTTTTTAGCATCTTCCTCAATTCCTTTTGTCTTAGAAGTGTAAATTTGAGTTGGGAGAAAACAATCACAAAAAATCTCGTTGTCTGCTATGGAGATAAATGAAACCGCAGACGGAGACATCTTCAGCTTGGAGAAAACTAGAGCATCTACATTATTTGATCGATTTGTGACTTAGGTTACTAATATAAGTGAATGACGAACCACGTTTGAGCACATCTAATTAATAATTGTCCAACGTAGGATGTTGCTATCAAAATTTAAAGAAACTGGTCATAAGGACTAAATGTGTAAAAACATTAAGGACTAAATGTGTACAAACTGAAAAATATATTTCCCTATCAAGTTATTTTTCCGACTTAACATGGAATAACCACTTACAAGAACTGAATATGAACTAAAAACAAGTTAAATGATCAAATGTGAACAAAAAAAAAACCTTGGTAATAAAAAAAATATTACCATTTTAAGTCATTATCCAAAAAAAATAATAAAAATAAAAAATAAACTAAAATATGATTTTTAACACCAAAATATGATTTAAGCTTCAATAACCAAATACTAAAATAATACAATAGAATTTATATTTACATTTTGTTTAATTATATTATATATTTCTCAGATATAATAAAATCCATTATATTGATTTCTTAAAAACACTCATTCTAATTCCATTTCTAAATTCGATGTCAACAAGTTTTTTTTTAAACCCACTTCCAATATTCAATATTGTGATCTCGCATGGAATACCCTCGCCCAATATTGTAGACTCACTAAACAATGAGATCTGACTAGGATAACTTGTAAAGAAAACTAATTTTCAAGAAATTTTATATATATATATATATATATATATATATATATATATATATATATATATATATATATATATATATATATATATATATATATATATATATATATATATATGTGAAATATTACAAGATGATTACGTTCATAACTATATATGAGAAATATTATAGGCCAAATAATCTCCAATCCAATTCACCATATATTTCAAGAACAAAGATGAACTTCTTCAAAACAGTGAAGAAGAGCTAAACATGATTTTATGACAAAGACAACCATATATCTACACATAATATTTTGTTCTAAAAAATGGGCTGTAATCGGCTTAATAACAAACATTAAAACATGAATATTTCATCCATCCAAATTTTAAAATGAAAACATGAACTTCATCAATTATCAAAAAAAAAAAAAAAAACTAGTACCATAAATTCAAGCTCATAAGATCTTTAGATGAAATCCTTAATATAGATTGTTTAATTTCAAGCTAAATATGGTTCAAAACGAAATACCAACACACATGCAGCAAAACATATGACTCCACCCAAAGAGTTCAACAACCCCTACCCCTAATTTATATTTATATAAAGTATAAACCAAGTCTTTATTCTTAGTATTTCATAATGAACCAAAACCTGCATATTACTTACTAATTACCACCCATTTTACTATGTTTTGGTTTTGAAAATCCCATCAATGCCTTCTTCTTCTTCTTCTTCTTATTCATCACGACATTATTTGCTCCAGTTTCAGAAGATGATCCACTTCCAGATCCAGAGGGCCCACCCAAGGTTGACCTTTTTTGAAGCTTCATATTTGATGCGAGAAAAGAGACTATATCAGGCTTTGGCTTTATCTCTATCCACTTATTATCAACCCACTCTTTTGAAGCTCTTAGATTCATCTTCTCAAAATAATGCAATCTTTTTTCACCTACACACAAACAACAAAACCAATATCATTTTTCAAGTGTCACATTCACATCTACTTACTTCTCAAAAGAAAATTAAGAGGTAAAAGGTGGAGTTTTTATAGTTTATATATACCAGGAAAGTAAATTTGAAAATCATTTTTTCCACAGATGTTGAATCCAACCACTACACCTTCCCACCACCCATCACACCACCATGCATCCACTGCTGATCCAATCTTGAAATCATCATCTGAAGATTCCATTTGAGGACATGCAGGACGTATATAATTACGCCCTAACCATCTCATCCCCATTTTATCAGGAGCTGCAATTCGATATGCCAACACCCATTCCTACCAAAAAAGATTTTAAAAAATAAAAGAAAATATAAAAAGTTACTACAAAAGATAATAATATATACCTCAAGATTTCCGGGACCCACTGCATCCACCACATCCATGTATGAAACTTTCAATCTCTTCTCTGATGTCTTCAAGATTTTACATCTAAACCAACACCCTCTTATCCCACTATCATTACTAAGCACTTCAATCTCTTCACCAACACGAAAAGGTTGTGTTTTTTCAGCCTCATTATCAACAACTGTAACACCCTGTTTCAAACTTTGAACACCCTCTTCTTTTTCTTTTCCTTTTCCCTTTCCCTTTTCTTTTTCTTGTTCTTCTTCTTCTTCTTCTTCTTCTTCTTCTTCTTCTTCTTCTCTTTTGGATGATGTTTCTTGGTTGTTCTTGTTGGGGCCAACTGGGAGGTTAAGAACAGAAAATATGATCTGGGTATGGTAGCCACGCAACTTAGAAAAAGGAAATGAGGAAATTTGGTCATTTTTTATCTGCTTAGAGCACATGTAAATCCCATCTGAGAAGTCTGGTGTAACAAAAGCCAAACATTGGTTGTAATGTTTGGGAGTTAAAATGGTGGCAAGTCCATCAATACATTCTGCACTTAAGATCTGACAATGAGAGGTGATTATAAGCTCATGAGGCTGAGGATTTGAGATTAATTCACTAAGTTCTTCACTGCGATGAAACCATCTCACATTCACCATCTTTTTTTCCCTGTAATTTTCATACATGTCTTCCAAGTAACCAATGTGGTAACCTCCTTCACCAGCTAGGATGAATACAAATGAATAAACCTGTATAGCACATGAAAGAATTTATGTTTTAAAACAAGGGGAAACAAGAAAGAAGAGGGACAAAAGATGATGCTTACAGATATTGTGGTTCCATTTTTGGTAAAAGCTTGATAATGCTTTAGGTTCCTGGTGCACATTGAAGATTCACCTGACCATATGATTTCAAAGTTCTCTTCTTCTTCTTCTTGGATCTGTAATCCTGAAGATTCAGGCTCCTTGTTTTTCTTTGAATCTGTTAGTAAAAGTAGAGTTTATAAAAAACGTAAGGGTACTAACAATGCGTATCATAAAATTGGCCCAAGGGGAAAACTGAAAACATAGATAAATGATTAATTACACAAAAAATCAAGTAGATCTGATTAATATAATTAGATCATGGAAAATCTAAGCTTGAGATTCTCTACAGTCTACACTAAGTGTTGTAAGATCAAAATGGGGATGAAATCGCGAATGAGGGACAAAAAAAGATGCAAATTTAAGTAGCACATGAAATCGGAATGAGATCCTATCGAATCGTTTAAATTAGATATCAGATCACAAGTTGGCATTTTAAGAAACACATTCGATTGTTTCCAAATGATTTTGGGAATTAAAGCATGCACGTTGAATCTCCGATTGAATCGATGATCGATAATGCTAGTAACATATGGAAATTACAAATTGAGAAGGAGAAATACCTAATCGCTTCATCATCAAGCCAAACGCGAGTAATGCTCTATGGTAAGGAGAAGACTCTAGGGCTCGAAGTTTTTCAGTTCAATGAGTAGAAGAATTAGGGGTACGAAATTTATAATGAGCGAAACCCCGAAAAGGAGCATCAAGTCCAAGTGGCTAAATCTTGTGAAACTATACATGCCACGTGGAATTTTTACTTGCTAGCATTGAATTGATTGGGAATCAATGGATCAGTATCCCAGAACACTAGTATAAACACACTCAAACAAGATTTCATTTTCAAAGTAATTGCATTAATTCAAATGAAGATTAGAGTTACGTAGTTTTGATTTATGAAAGTGGAATGAACTATAAACAGTCAAGTAATTGAAGAACACAATTAAACACTTAATAAATCTTATACAGTAAAGGCGTGCCTTGTTAGGTCATCTTTTCTCACTTAACTCAAACAAGTGATCAGGTAGGTTCGGTTTCATTGATATCAAGTGAAGTTTGACATATCACAAATAAGATATAAGGTTCATATCATCATGAAAAAAAGAGCAATAATGAGCATGGATTAACAAAACCAGAAATATAAACTCTTACTTGCCGCACCTGATACTCTGAAATCAAGGAAGGGGATTTAATGGTGACATGGGACCGATAAGTCTTGAAGAAGAAGAACCCATCTGGTACAACATAGATCACGCGCCCCAGAGTCAACATTCCAACAATAGCAATGACAAGACCCCCAAAGGAGACCTGCAATTACTAATGAACTCTTTGGTTTCTTTTCTCCTGAGAAATCACATGCTCGTCTCATGCCAGAAAATGTTTGCTCGCTTGCACACATTCCGATACACTCCAAACGAGAGGATTTCGATCGATTTTCACAGCAAATTGCACATAACAACTCAAAATAGATCAGAAAACAGAAGAAAGAGGGCTGATTGATTACGAAAACTTAAACCTGTGCAATTGAGTGTGGCTCAAAGCAAAGAATGATAATCAGAAATTAAAGCAATGCAGTTTCGCTTCTGATTGCAATTAGGACATCAAACTTTTAAACCCAGACGATTTCTTTGACACTTTTTCATGATTGTTGGAGACATTGCTAGTAGTTACATCTCCTTCCCTTCTCTAAACTCTCTAGGTCGTTCCAATTGAAAAGAAAGAGGTTGATTTTTAGGCAAAACTAGTCCCGCAACTTTATCTTTTCAAAACATGTAACCTAATTGGGATTCTCTTAACATTTTAAGTCCCCAAACATTTTTTCACAATAAGGGTCTAACATCTCGTTAAAAGGATTAAACCATGATTAATTACATCAATCCTAAATCTTAGAAAAATCAACTCCTACTTACCCACTCTTATTATTATTATTATTATTATTATTATTAACTAGTTAACATTACAAAATTTATTTCAAATATTTATACAACATAAAAACATATCGTTTTAATTGAAAACCGGTAATAATAAACTTTTCAAATTGAAAATTTGAAAGTGTTTGTTTCAAACCGGAGGAAGTTTTGTTTATATTTTCGAAATAAAAATTACCCATTTCAGACCCGACGATAATTGCAAAAAAGTTTGATCATTTGCTCTAATGCCCAAAATCATGTTTATGCAAAAATTTATTGTTTTAGTCTTGTAGAAAAACCATGTGGTCATTTTTCTAATCAGTTATTTCAATCCAAACACCATTTATTATGATCAATAATCACATACCATTCATGGATGTCCATACACAAATACACAACAAGAATAAGTGACTCGAAATGACAACAAATTGCTAACAAACCATTATTCTTGCAGAAAGACACCAAAAATAAGCTCATTAATTATATAACCAAAAATGTTGAGAGATGATTTACAATTCTTAGACTCTTGTTTTGAGTTTTTCATAAGAATGGTTGTAATGACAACAAATCGGTCAAATACAATGGTTTACACTTACTAGTCACCAGCCAAAAAATCATCATCTTCTTTCTCTTCTAGTGATGCATCAGCATCATCATCTCTATGTGTAGTAGTGGTATTACTACTAATAACACCTTCAAATTCAGACTCTCTTTCATGGTTGATCTCGAGCATATCTTGTTTCGTGTTGTTGTCATGATGATGATGATGATGATGATGATGATAATTGAATGTCTTGCAGATGCAGGTGGAAGGGTATTCATGGAAATCACCACGTCCAGGTTTCATCTCATCCGGGTCCCCCATAAACCCCCTTTGAGCTGATTTCACTTTACTTGAGAAACTCCCCCATGACATCTTCTCTCTTTGCAAAAATAAAGCACTCAACTTCTTTGCATTTGGTCTAATTGTTCTTTTATGCCCCATATACCTCCTTTAAATATAAATAAATACACATCATTGGAATATGATACAATTCAAAATAGAGTTAAATAAAACACCTTACCTTCTTCCAGCAAGAATTTTTGCCATATTCCCATTGTTGTTAGTGACAAACACATCACTCTCATCACAAACAATGTAATCAATGGCTGCAAGACGAGAAGAAAAGGGAAGAAAAGGTTGAAGAAGATGTTCTTGTTGAGAAGCCATGAGCAACATCTCCTTGGTGTATAAATTTGGAAAAAGTTGTCTAAGAGGCTTTAAAGTTTCTTCACCTCCATAGATTTCACCTGATGCAACATAAATGTATGTGTCATTCTTGAAACCGAGTGCACTCAGCATCAACCCCACCTCATGTGGTGTAAGTGGACACTTTCCTTGCTTTCTCTCTCCCTCAGGATTCACTTCCTAATTGATTGATTAATTAACCATTAATAATAATAATGAGATATTTTCAAGAGAAAAAATAAAAAATGAAATTTGGGAAAGAAAAGAATCTCACTCCTAAACTGGACCACCTTTTCCTGACTTCACCAAGCTCATATCTCTCTTTATCACCACCTCCATAATAACATCCAGAAAATGCAAGCATATCAGGCTCAAACCTTAAATGAACAGCAATATAACGATTTGTCATCTTCCTCATTTTCATCACCAGATGATCTCCAACATCTTGCAATGGTTTTGTAAAGCGAAAAGCATGGTAATTCACTCGACATCTTAATCTTTGTAGTTCTTTATTAAGGTCAATAGCAAGCCTATAGTCAAACTTTGTCAACTGAACAACCTATACACATATTCGTTCATCACAATTCACAAATCAAAAATATATATATATATTTCAGTAGCTGTAATAAACTAAATGAAGAATAATTACATGTCGCCTCAAGAGAACAGGAAGAACTTCATGAAGGTAATACTGAGGTTCAGATTTACGTGGGACCCGCATGGTGTATGGGGGTTTTTCAAGTGATCGCATGTATTTATCTGGGACTCTTTTCACAACAACCACGTCCTTTGCAAGGAAAGAGATAAACCAATCAACATCAAAAATGTTTGAAAAGTCACTGCAAAGTTTATTAAAAAAATAAATAAATAATAAGATAACAATCAGTCAATCACAATTCACATACGTATCTTGGTTTTAAGTTTCAATTAATGGAATCTTACTTAGCAGTTACCTCACCTATCATCCTTCCAAAATGAATGATGATCAAACTCAGGAACCACCAATGTGGCATTTAATATCCGTGCAACAACTACAGCATCTGTAATCTGTTTTCACAAGATTGATTGCAGAAATAAACAAAGAATGTGTAGCAAATGAAGAAAGATGAAAGGAAAAATGTTTATTTACTCCAATTCTTTGTTGGTTAAGCCCTCCACTGGTGGCTATAAGAAGATACCCATTTGATAGTAGCTCAGCAACAGGAGGTCTGTAATGAGGGCCTCTTTCACTGCATCCGTAGTATAAGTTTGAAAACTCAGATTTCCAGATGTTAATTGGTCCATGATGACGGAATCCACCCTAAATGTTAAAAAAAATCTCATAAATATTTCACATATGTAATGTAATGAAAGCAAGTATTTCACACGATGTGATTCAAGAAATTTTACCACTTTACTATACCACAATCGATGCTTAACGAGTTTCTGAGAATACCATTCGAGATTTGAAGCTACATGACCTGTAAACAAAGATATGAGACCGACTGTAAACAACATCACTCCGCAAACCACCGCCCATGAGATCCGCCGTCTCTGCCTTTTCCCCATTGCAGAATGATTTGCTTGGGGTGGTCAGGGCACCCCCAACACGTCACCTTCACCTTCACCTTCACCTTTACTGACTTGGAAGTTGAAAGACTGAAAGGAATTGAAAACAACATTGTAAAATCAAGATAGACCAAATTTTCCTTTTACGAAATCAAGAACTAAAGAATTGGAATTTCGTAATGAAGATTGACCTGTTAGCTATCTCGTGATTATGTGCGATATTACAGACCTTGAAAGCTAGGAGTTGTTGAATCTTTTGTCGTCATCACAGAGTTAAAGCCAGCAAGCAGTACCTAGTCGGCCAAAAAACGGCCTCCCCTGGCCCCTTAAGGGTTCCGCCACTCAAACTAAGTGAAATGAACCAAGGAAGACTGAAGGCACCGATTCTGATTTCTTGATTTGCGGAAGATCGATTTCTGTAGAAGGAAGACTGAAGCTTGAACGATGGAGTATAGATTCTTGAACTCGCTGAAGCTAGAACAAGATGAAGTATCGATCCTTGAAGTCTTAAACTCGGTGAAGACTAAAGAAAGTCACATTAGTCGATATCAATGAAGATGGAAGGTCGATTGATGATTTGAGGTCTTTGCTTGAATTCGCTGTAGCTTGATTCTTTAACCATGGCGTATGGATGCCACCGACGAGTAGAAGTAGTGAAAAAGAGCCCTAGAACAAAAGGTTTAATTTTTTTTTTTAATCATGGGAGAGAAAAACTAAAAGAGACCTTTTTTTTAAAGTTGCATATTGCTTGAAGAAAAATAAAGAAAATAGATAAATTGATAATTCTATGGTTTATTGTTACCGTAGCCCAACAATGTTTCATATATTGATTTAAACAGTCAACTGTGATTTTCCTTTGCATTTGAAGGAAAGCACATAGGCAAAACGAAATCGGAAGCATAATTGATTGGGGGGTTCGATCCTCGTCTGATCGAAGATGGGAAGGGTTTGATCGAACCAAGGGAAGAACGAACGGAAGGTAGAAAGCGAAAGCAGCAAAGGTTGCTCAGGCGGCGAGGTGTGAATGGGGGGAGGAAGGTGATCAATGACATTGTTGATCGAAGGTTTGGTGGAGGCTAAGAGATTTCGAGTGGTGATCACCTCCAGTGTTTGTCCGGACCGAAGAAAAGAGAGAGACAGAAGCAACAGGTTACTGATGGTCTCAGCGGTGCAATGATGGGGTAAGATGCGAGGCAAGCTGCTCCGGTGGAGAATCAAATGGCGACATCTCTGGTAATCGCCTTGCATCCTCTTCTTTCGGATTTGACAGCCAACACAAAAGAGGATGAAAGCAGGAAGGAAAAAAACGATCCACGAGGGTGTTTTGTTTGTTTGTTTGACACATAAAAAGGCAAAGATTGAGAGGTTGTTTTGGGTTGCTTATTCGACAAAAGAATGGGGACGGACGAGGGAGGCCTAATGTCCCATTAATTTGTTGAATACATAAGAATAACACCTCTAATGGAGGTGTTCTTGGCTAGCACGAAGGAGAAGGAGAAATAAGAGAGGTAAGGTGAAATTGTAAATGATTAAATGCAGCCTTAAAGGGTATAAATTCTCAGATTTCTTTAGGATTTAGTTGTACCATTGTGATGCATTTTGAGTGTTGTTCTTCTTTAGCTTGAACAATCAATGGAAGGGAATGACAACAACAAACATGTATCTGGTGTTGGTATGATGTAGGAGGATATTTTGAATGATGTTTAGTGAAACTTGTAGACTTTCTTTTGGTTAGATGAACAATTCATGAGTTGTACCCTATGTAACATCCATAAAAATCATACCAAATTTAATCTTTTTCAAAACATTTCAAAACCATTAATCATTACAAAACTTGTTTTCAAAATAGTATAATATCAGAGTATCCCAAAAACAAGTCATAAACATGAGGAGTTGTACGATCACGCCTTTGCCTTCCTGCGATCATCTAATGTACCTTAAACAAAAACTGAAACTGTAAGCCCAAAGCTTAGTGAGTTCCCCAAAATACCGATACACTAGAAATAACACATATACAAATAACGACATGTATTTGGTCCACAACTTTACAGAATGGATTACCCATGGGCCCACAGTATGAGTCTGGTTTGCCTTTCGGGCCCACGACTCACATCTAAATTGCCTCCGAGCCCACAGTACAAGTCTGGTATGTCGTACCCGACCCTCAGCTCGTATCTGAAATCCTCTCGAGCTCACAATACGAGTCTGGCATGCCCCACCCGACCCTCAGCTCGTATTTGAAATGCTTCTGAGTCCTTAGTATAAGTCTAGCATACCCTGACCGGCCCTCAGCTCATATCTGGAATACTCTAGGGTTTGTTGGCTATCGCATGGAGCAGTACAACCTCAACCCAACCCACATAATATGTCGACATAAAACATAACTAATGCACATATAGATAATTAGGTAGTAACACATGTAGCCCTACAGATCTACCAACTGGCATAGCAAATAGCATGCATAACTAACTCGTACTCAACATAATAGAACTGCTAGGATATCATATCCAACGGGTCGGCGTTGGTGCCTTTGACCCCTTAGTATAGTGAGGATAACTCACCTCTCAACTGTCTAAGCGAAGTGATGAACTCAAACTCTCGAACCACGGCCACAAACTCTACTACCTATATTTACCATATGACCATTCCATAAATTTTCAATTTACCAATATACGCCAGAAGTCAACTAGTCAACCGTTGGTCAAAGTCCAAGTCAATGGTCAAGGTCAACAGTCCATGTTGACTCGACTCGTCGAGTGCAGTTCACTGACTCGTCGAGTCCTTCCTAAACTTGAGAAGTCGTGAAATCCCCTGTTGACTCGTCAAGTTTCCCTGAAACTCACCGAGTTCATGCATGCCCAAATGTCAGGAAAAACCCCAGCTGACTCGTCGAGTCATCTTACTATCTCGCCGAGTCCATGTAGAAATCCTTGCACGACAATCTTCATCGGACTCGTCGAGTTGGCCATGCAACTCGTTGAGTCCCTTTAGTCCTTTCTCCATTCAGATGCTTTTTAAGCCGCTCCAAAGCTCCATATTGCAGATCAAGCTTCCCAAGGCATGTTTATCACGTAAAGTTGCAAACTTTACGTGGATGTAAGGCTCTAAAGGCTTATAATATCAAATCCAAACTTATAATGGGGTTTAACTCAAAAAGGAGTGTTCATACTTGCTAAAGTTAGGGACTTTATAACTATAGAGACCAAGATAAGCTCAGATCTAAAGTTGCAACTTCAGATCCTAGCTTATACTCGAAAATGGCTAATATATATGCTAGAAAATCCCTAATCTTCAACATATAAAGAGATCTAGAAAGAGGGAAGGTCAAGATAACAACTTGTTACCTTCAAACTGATGCTAATAAGCAGAAGAGTCAGATCCACTAGCACCTCTTGCACTACTCCTCTTATACTTCAAGTCTTTTTCTTGTAAATCACCTTCCAAGCGTGAAAATCACACAAGAATGGAGCACACACACGCATTAGGATTTCTCGACTCACAAGGGGCTGTAAGGGGAGAATGTAACATCCTAAAATTTAAGATAAGGTTCTTAAATTAAATAAGTAATTAAATAAAGGATTATTTACATAATTAATTCATTTAAATGGTAATTATATCATTAGTTAATATAAATCTTAGAAATTTAAAGGTTGAAATGTTAACATTTCAGAGTTAAATGACCAAAAGTGCCAATTTGGCAAAGTATGTTTGACTAAGGGCTGATTCAACTAATGGAAGTGACTAAAAAAAGTTATGCAATGGATGGAAAGGAACTTAGGATGTCTATTATTAAAGAAAAGTCACATATGTTGGAAGAATGGACCATTTCTGACAAAATTGTGAAATTTGAGGGACTACATGTGAAAAAGAGGGAAATAAGATGAACACTCTCCTCACTTCTCTTCCAGATGCGTATGAAGAATTCTAAAGATCTTCTAATGACGATTATTCTCCTACCTCCCATCTAAGGTGTGATTCAAGCGGTGAATTAAGCAAACAAGCAAGGGAGAGAAGGATTCAAGGCTTGCAAGGTATAAAACACCTCCCCATTTAGCTTAAAATTCGAATTGATGAAGGGTGTAGCACCTGGTTCTTGGTACGTAATTCTTTTTATTTTTATCTAAGTGTTTTGCATTTTTGGTGTTGGACTTGGCGAGTTGAAGGACCAACTCGCCGAGTAGAAGCGAGACGGGACACAAGATTTAAGTGATGGACTCGGCGAGTCGGGTCCCAGACTCGACGAGTAGGCCCTGGCTGGACAAAACCCTAATATGAGGGTTTGCACCCTATTTAATCATCTCATTCAGTCACCCATCGTCCCATTTGCTCCCAGAAGACCCCCATAGCGAACCCCAATCGTGTGAGTGAAGATCTAAGGCCTTTTGAGTGATTTTGGTGCATTTGTGATATAAGAAAGGAAGGAAAAGCTTGAAGAATCAAGAAGAGGCTAGAGGAATCCAAGTTTGAGCATCTTCCACAGTGAATTTGAGGTATGAAGCCTATACCTTGCTTATTATTATTATAGATATATTCTTGAAGGAAGTTAGGGCTTCTAAGAGACATTTTGACTACTAACCATGATTGCAAGCATGGTTGAGGGCTAGGGTTTCGGATCCAGGGTTCTTGAGGGACCCTAAGGCAGAAAGCAACTATTTTAGAACCCATGGAAAGCCTCATGCATGTTGGGAGTTCCTTTTTGAGCCATTTGAGCTCATTCTTGCATGCATGCACGTAAAGTTTGTAACTTTACGTGCTAGATCGAGCTTAGGGGATTGGATCTATCATTTGGTCAAGTGTTGTACATCATAAATCGAGGATTTAGAGTGTGGACGTTATCGACTCGGCGAGTCCGTTCTTGGGACTCGACGAGTCCAAGGCTTTGTGTCCCATATCTGTTAAGGGTCAAAAGAACTCAGTTAGGTGTTATAAGGGTTGTAGCAGGATAGAAGGAGTGACCCAATGCATTGGGCTTGGTTTTAGACCTGGAGTTCATGGGACTTGACGAGTACTAGAACAGACTCGGCAAGTCCAAGGCAATCTCCTTATGATTGAAGATGCACGCGACGAGTTGTTCATACAGCTCGACAAGTCAAGGTCAAGACTTGTTCATTAGATGAAGGTGAACTCGACGAGTTGTTCATACAACTCAGAGAGTCGGATGAAGGATCATTTGATGTTTATATAGGAGAGGAACTCATCGAGTCATTGCCAAACTCGACGAGTCGAGTCATGGATGAGGTCATGTAAAGGGATAGGGACTCGACGAGTTGACGGCCCAACTCGGCGAGTCGAGTCAACTTGAAGTTGACTTTGACTTGGACTTGATTGGGGGTAAAATAGTCATCTAACCCTAAGAGCAGATGTCAGTTTCTGACTAAGTGTTTTGTAGGGATTGTAGCCGGAGGATTTCCGGAGCAGCAACACGTAGAGACTTCCCACATAGATTATCAACAACTACTTGTTCGAGGTGAGTTACCTTCCAGTAGAGGTGGGTCTACGGCCACAATTCTGGCCCACCAGTAGGAGTTGTATGTTAGATGATTATCTTTGTGATATCATCTAGGTTTGCTACTACCTGATATGTTATATGCTGGCATGATATATTATATGTGATAGTAGTAGAGTTCGGTTGTTAGGATCGAAGGGTAGGTCAGACACCCCATATATGTCTGATAGTATATGATGATATGTTTATATGTTGGCATGATATGTTATATGTGATAGTGGTAGTAGGAGGGGAATAGTCCCCGAGTTCGGTTGTTAGGACCGAAGGGTAGTTCGGACACCCCATATATGTCTGATAGTATGTTTATGTTATGAAATAGTAGCAGTAGGGGCAGAATAGTCCCCGAGGGTCGATTGTTGGGACCGACGGGTAGGTCAGCACCCCAAAATGGCTTGACACAGGTAGGACGGCACCCCAGAATGGCCGCAATGGTAGGTCGACACCCCAGAATGGCCGTGCAGGTAGGTCGGCACCCCAAAATTTCCTGAGAGTATGTATGTTATATGATTGTATGGTATGTGGTACGATGGGGGAACTCACTAAGCTTCATGCTTACAGTTTACAGTTTTGGTTTTAGGTACCTCTTCAGCGAAGGGGAAGGAGCTGGCGCGATAGCGCCACATCATACACACACTCTTTGTTTTCTGCACTATGTATATTCTGGGATTGTACTCTGACATGTTATTATATTATGACTTGGGTTCTCATACGTGATATGTTGTTTTATGAAATGATGTGATTT